ATTTTCATCGACTCTTCTCAAAACTGCTTCTTCTAATTCCACCGGCCTTGTGTAATATCTCTCCGTGGGTTACGCTTCCCGTTTCTTTTAATCTGAGAAATAGTCTGCTAAAGGTGTGACTATTAGGCAATCGTCTGTTCGGGAACCTTTGCACCATATCCGCCATCTCTTCCTTGGAGTAATTAATAGGAGCCATACTTAATAGTTTTATTAAATTAAATAGTAAAATAATATCGTTGCGGGACACTCTGTATACATAATGTAGCGCCTCGCCCGCAAGCGACCTCGGCTTCCGTCTGCCACAGGTGGCGTTATATACAGTGTATTTGATTCAAGTTGGCACAACAGATATCTTGGAGATATGACAAAATTCCAAAATGGTTAAATTCCATTATGGTTAAAATGACAAATTCTATACTTATGATTCAAATTATTTAATAAATGAGCTTATTTAATAAGTTTTTTGACCAATTACCCAAATAATTTGTTTATCTTTTATGTTATTAAAGAGATAATCTAAACGTGTTAAAGTGGAGCCTGTAGATCAAAGAGTACATTGAACGAAACAAAGTTTGTTTGAAACGTTTTTGCGTTTATCAAGTTAGTATGGACATTTTCGATTCTGTCTGATCAGAGGTGGGGAAAATTGTGTAAATTGATTTGGTTTGATGGAGAGAGAAGGGCTAATGAATCTGGCTTTGTTATTTTTTAAATTGGGACGGGGCACTTAAACGGGATGGTCGGGGTTATTTACTCGATTATGGAGAGTGGGCGATTGATTCTAATGGTAACGGACATTTTCGAGTAGCCAATCGAACGGTTCAACGAGGTCCAGCTAATGACAGGTAAATAGCACTTGTTGTACGGTTGCACCTGACACCATCCTTGTCCAGAGGAACAATGCTACTCTCTGTCATGTGCCCCTCCATAATTACACGTGGAACACATCAGCGGTCCCTTTGTGCGTTTAGGAGCGGTAGAAATGAGTTTCCTGCCCCACTTCAGTAATAATCTCACAGCGTATTCAGCTAGAAGTATCGAAGTTAATGCATCCTATAATTGCTGACAATGTTTCAAGTCCTAAATACGTTCGCCAGAAGATTAAAAACTTGTACGTGCCTTTTCTACGGTCCAGGTATTTTAATAAATTTATTTTCTCACGAAATTGCCCGGGCGCATAAAAGTGATTAATAGTTGAATGATATCGGATCCTCCATAATCTCCTCTATACATGTTCTCACAGAGAAGGTCCACCGTCTAATTAGACCCCCGCTAATTGGCTCTGTGCCACGACGTGGTAAGGGATCGGGAAGATCTTTCGGATGTTACCGGCCACCAGAATATCCCTAAAGATTCGGACCTTTTGTAACTTGGCCAAAATTAACTCTTCCTAACGTAACTTTTAAGTGCTCCTTCTGCTAAACAGGATACATCTACGCCGGTAAATGTTAAACCATTTATCGGATATAACTACATAAGTGAATTTGCTCACTTGAAATCCTCCACCCACCCTTTACTTTCATCCCCATTCTACTTAATAGGGATAACCGCAAATTTCCAAAAACCATTTCCCGCTAATACTCCTTAATTAAGAGAGCACCCCTTTAAATTTCTAACTTTCTAACACGAATTACTTCCTCATGCAAATCTCTCAATTCACCCTTAATCAACCGAACGAACTATCTTATTTCAACATCGTTAAAATTAAAAGTGTGTTTTTTATTTGAAAACAATGTTAAGTTCTAAATCAAATTAGTGTCTTAATTTATAAAGGTAGTGAAAAGAGTTTGGCTGGCGAAGGAAAATTCGAGAGGAAAAGAAAAATCGAAAGAAGTAGGTGGGGAGAATAGATTCGGTGTGAGAAAGTTGATTGATTAAGCAATTCTGTCACTATTGAAAAGAGTTTTTCAAGAGTTCTAGAGTTTGGGTCTTTGTACAAACCAAAAGAAACTTATCGTATAACTTAAACAAAAAAGAGATGTTTTTAATACGATATAGAGAAAACTAAAAAAGTGGTTCATGTTTCGCTTATCATATAATTTTCATGGCTGTTATATTATATTACATACTAGGTATGTAATTTAAGTTTACACCCTATTATTAAGTAAAACTGCCATTACCATAAATTTAATAGAAAGTTCACGTTAAAATCGAGCGCCGAGGGAAGTTATGGGAGTAAATAAAGTTTGATTTTCACGCGGGGAGGTATCTGAGCGAAAAGGCACTTTGTAGGTGGTGGATTTGTGACGTATACCATTGAAAGCAACATTCCAAATATGGGCAAAACGGCCCCCCAACACGGTACGTGTCCTTTAGGATTTATTACACCCCTCGGTGTGTGTTTTCGGGGAAGAAACTTTACCTTATTCAAACTTTGCAACGCCATTTACATGAGCCAACAAATCATATGCATTAATCCGCCTTTTGTGCATAACCTCGCATTCATACGGAGAGCTTAAGGTTTGGTCGAAACTTTTCAAAGAAATTCGAAAGGGGAAGAAAGGAAAGTTTAGGACGCTTTTATTAATATCAGACGGTGGCGAGTTTCCTTTTGTATTTGTGTCACGCTATCGATTTCAGTTTTAATACTACACCTAGTACTACAACGTGTCCCATACATATATATTTTTATCTCTATCTCACAACATTTTCCGTCAGTTCGCGGAAACATTACCGCTAAATAACACTCAACTCGCACGGGAACAAAATTTAATTTTTGCTCCAAGTTTTTAGGACGGCCACTTATGTTAAATATGTACGTAAAGCGGGCGACGTCGACTCCAGCTTTTGCGGAACAAAGACTTTAATCTCTTTTTAAATCTGTCCGGCAGATGGTTATATCCTTCGACTTCGTTACGACCACATTTGCACACACTGTCACACAGTTTAAAATTTTCTACTTAAAATTCTAGCCAGTCAAAACCTCACTCATCGATCCACATTATTTTTATCTTTCCTTATGTATAAATGTAACTGGAGCAATTACAATTCTACTTTACTTTTAATATAGTTAATTCTCTAAGCATTTTGTTCTCATTAATCTTCAAATGAATATCCTTTTTTTATGTTTTCTTAAGTTGTAATTAAAAAATTATTATTCAATTATGATTGCAGAAGACTAAATACTGCTTGCAGAAGACCAGATATTAGTTGCAGAGGACTAGATACTGCTTGCTGAATAAACAGAAAACTAGATACTGATACCTACAATAACATTTTTATGAAACTCCTTCCATTGATATTAAAAATGAATTGAAAGTTATTATTATGACATTGAAGTCTTGATTTAATAATGATTTAACACTTTTGAACGTCCCTATATATAGAGAGTGGTAAATTTTAATTCGGATTAAATTGACCGTCAAAAGAGTCTTCGGGGATGGAATAGGGGATGTGGGAAGTTAGCCAGATGGCGCTGCGACATAAATTGATAATAGATGCCATATTAATTGCTGTTTAATTTCTGAAAGCCAATCGTTGATTTTTTTTCGCGAATCGATATTGGGTAGTCATTTGTCATCGCCGTGCGAATGGTCTGCAATGTGCCATTGACGCTCACCGCAGTATAGGGTGGATTTGTTCGTATTTGATTTATTTTATATTGCATTTGCATAACCGGGCGATCGCTATGCTGCGAATTTTTCGACGAGACTAGCAGGATTACCGTGGAAATATTTTTGCGAAAGGGAGAATTGGATAAGCTCTGCAAAAAGGCGGACGTAAACAAACCATTTTAGGTATTTCAGCCCGCGACCGTCACTTTTTAATATTAAAATGCTAAACTGTTTTCAATTTCGATTGGCTCAGCTACCCGCATTGTTCACCGACAAAATAAAAATCGTTAATAAACCGTATCATCGGGCTTTGTATGTTCGAAATGCGATTATGTGACGCGCAGAGTATTTCATGCTCTTCTATTCTAATGTAAATTCAATCGAATATATACCTCTAGTATTAAAAATCGTTATATTTTCTTTCTATATCCTAACACAATCAACACATATTATGATAAATGATCTTATTTTTGAGTCGGATATTTCAATTGAAAATATCCGGATTATTAGCAATGAAGGGTTTGACATCATTACTCAGTTGGGAGTTAAATAAAGTGTTCGGCACCGCTATATTCCCGACGGAGTAAAGTGCGGCCATCAGTAACCCCTAAGGGATATCGTAAAAATAAAATATCGACCTCGCTGAAAACCTTTCCACTCAAGATTTCTCGCACCTCAATTTTTGCAAACGCGTAATTCGACGTTTTGGCCCGGTTTCGGGTGCCACGTGACGGAGAGGGCTTTTCACCGGGAGAAAACAAAAAGCTTCCCGCTGATATTTGATCGAAGCGGAGCATAAGAGTTTTGTAAATATAGTAGTCGCCCTACTGTAAAACAACATCGGTTCAACAGCTTTGCCCAAAAATCGAAATCGCAAAAATAGTAAAATATCCTAGTATCATGGAATCCCTAAATTATAACCCACGCAGAACTGGGTGTGGGGACGTTTTGCTTTAATAATCGATCCAGATGTAAAGTTTTACTACTCCGGAGTACTGGTTTGGTCTCGTCCCTATACTTGCTAGAACACGCCTTGTTACAACCAGGTGCTAACGGGCTATGCTACCCTAAGGGGCAACAGTTCATTCGACAATACCACTGCATTTGATTGCACTTGGAGCAACCTACAATTGTTGAACTTTCTAAACATCTATGTTTCAAACTTTTCACATACAAAATTAATTATATTTGCTCAAATAATTACTGAAATATTTCCGGGATTTATTCCGATAAAGAAAACCTTCGAGGTTTCCGGCGAACATCGACTATGTATAGATGCAGCCCAAATTTAATATCACTAAATACCTTACATATCTGGAGTAGCAACCGAGTTTACAAATTCTCGAGGAATGCCGTGTAGAGCGGCCCCGTTTTTACTCGAATTCCGCCTTCCCGACCTCTCCCTTGCTAACAACGTACTAACACGCATCTTTTCTTGTCTAACAGAACCATGCGAGAAGATGTTCTGCAACTGGGGAGCCCAGTGCATCACCGGCGCAGACGGCAGGCCTTACTGCCAGTGCCAGACACACTGCAGGCCCTTCACCGATCCCGTTTGCGGAACTGACGGCAAAACATATCCCAATCAGTGTCAGCTGCGGGTCGCGTCTTGCAGAGCAAGGCTGAACACCAGAATACGGCATGCCGGAGAATGTTCTCCTTCTGGTAAGAGCTGCTCCCCATTATTACAGAAGTACACAAGACCTATTTCTTACTAAAACGTTCCTTTATTTCTCTTTACACAATAAATTAAGGCAATATTAGTTGCGTAACATTTTTATGTTTCTAACGCGGTTTGTGAATCGTTCCCAAGACACAATTAGATAAGTAGTTTTGCAACAATAACCACGCGGAAGAAGCCGTTCACTCAAGCACGAGCGGGTTCAGTTACGAGTATGGTTAATGTCAAAATTAGGTACGGAACCGACTCCCGGCACGTAGTCGCCGTAAGTTCCGTTTCGGGCGCACCTATCCATTTGCATTTAAACGAACTGATTTTTTCCATGACTTCGCCTCCGTATCGGAACGATTCGAAAAGGTGGGTGAGGCACTGTGCCGGTTCCACCACTAATTTAGGATTTTCGTCGTTGTAATTCCGTTCGCGACCAACGTTCGGCTAACGATACAAAAGTTAAACAGAATCCGGAGCCGCAACGCCCTATTTATCCTACTATCCTGATGGGAGATTCCGACTTTTTATTTACTCGGCCGCAATAATTCTCCCGTTCTTAAACCCGAGGGTGCCCGTATCTACTACCGCCGGAGGTCCCCGGAGGTCCTTATCAGCGTTTATCGATTTATCTAATTGTACCCGAACTAAGAACTGGACGATAGGACGCCGCACCCGGAACCGAGGGTTAACTCCAAACGTGATTCCTTGATATATTAATGATGTACTTTTTGTCGCCACTATTGAATATTTATGGACCAATGAGATATAAAACAGACCACTTTACATGATTAAAATTGAAACTCTGTACCCAACGTTTTTTGATAACGAGTAACTTTTTTATTCCATTGCCAAACTTTGATTATATGTACTCATCTTGTTCTCTAAGATACTAAGAAATATATGTATATAAAAATAAGCAGTTTAGAATATCAAAAAACATACTTTACATGATTAAAATTGGAACTCTGTACCCAACGTTTTTTGATAACAAGTAACTTTTTTATTCCATTGCCAAACTTTGATTATATGTACTCATCTTGTTCTCTAAGATACTAAGAAATATATGTATATAAAAATAAGCAGTTTAGAATATCAAAAAACATACTTTACATGATTAAAATTGGAACTCTGTACCCAACGGTTTTTGATAACAAGTAACTTTTTTATTCCATTGCCAAACTTTGATTATATGTACTCATCTTGTTCTCTAAGATACTAAGAAATATATGTATATAAAAATATGCAGTTTAGAATATCAAAAAACATAAAAGTTGATATTGGAAAACCATCTCGTTGATTCAAGATGATGAGTCCCTTGGTACCTGATAAGGGATATCGTTCTGGAACTCGAAAAGTCGCTACGCGAACTAGGGTAGTTTCTCATAACAGCAAAAGAACACCTATAGAATTTAATATAAAGCGGTTTGCAAAATCCAGTGGTCGCAGTATAAAGCTAGAAAATCGCGAGTTCAGGACGGGAGTTATTCCCTTAATAAATTTCAGCGGAGTGGAACATGAAATAATCTTTCGAGGTGGAATGCGGGGGCAATTCGTTTTTCTGGAAGCGAGTCGGTGACAGCATATCGAGCGCATGTCTTGTCATAATTTTCAATTTCTAACAATGTAAATATGGAATGCTCGATATGTTTATTATGAGGTGTTAGCTTTAAAATTTTGTGTGAATAATTTGAAATGGTTAGAAGAGGGGGCGGTGTAGCGCAATAAGTAATAATAAAAATAAAGATGCATGTACCTGACACTGATTGCAGGTTGTAGGGTCTCGCAGGATTGAGATAGCATCGGACGAAGCAGCGGTATTATGCGAAATCACGGAACGTTCGATTAATAGTGTTTGGGCGCTATGGACGGTATCTAAATTAACATCTTCTTGGTATTTCTGGCTGCAGCAAACGCCCCCTCTAACGGCACACACGATAACCACTACGGTTCTCGGATTGATCGCGAACTTCTTCGGCGACACCGCAGAAGGGAAATTCGACCGGATTAAGCTACTTTACATTTACATTTCGCCGGCGGAGCAACGCTCAAAAGTTAATTTACTATATCCCCCAGGAGGGAAAACAACCCCGTTTTGTTAGGTCTACGATCCACGTGCGCATCTTATAAATGCACCTCTCTCCTTTACTGCTTCACTTCAAACGGAGATTTCTACTATTTTATTCAACACGTCTTCTACAACATTCCGAATTACAAACTTTACACATTTCAAACCGACGTTCTCTAACTTTGAAATGTCTACTTCATTTTCATTTTATATCATCCACATCACGGCCCCTTTTCGTCCCCTATCTACAAACCTCCTGTCGTTCTCGAATGTCGCCAGCACGCACTCGGTTCGTTTCCCCAAACCACCTTGCATTAATGATGTTTATATTTCTTTCTTATTTCCCTTTTTCCTTCCATCTACCTCCTCACCTTTCATCTCCGCTTTGTACATCAAAAAAGCCCTTCCCTACATCAAATGCTCAATATTCCTCCTTAAAAACCAGCCATTATCTTTTATAACCAAACTTCAGATCTAAACACATATTCAATTTTCTTTTCTGTCCCTTCTATACTTGATGATTCCATACTAATGAAAACATTAAACGAGATATATACACATTTCAATTTGCTCGTCCGGAGGAAATGACTTATTGCTGTCTGCGGTTGGTGCGCCGAAGGCGATTTACGCTATCACCTGCAGTAAAGAGAGAGCCTTTGATTTAAGAATTCCGCCGGAACGGTTCCTTTGAGATAATAATTGAGGGCTCAATTGGAAATCGAGAAGCCGAGGTTTTCCATCTCTTTTACGCAACTAATTCCGGGCGCGCCGGGCGGGTCGGAAAAGCTTTACGATGGGATGATATTTTTATGCGATCATCTCCGGCAATAACTATCCCTTTAAGGATCTGGAACGACGGGAAATCCCCGCTGTTTTCCCTCCGGGGAAATGAGGGCGCCACATATTTCGGCGTTATCCTTCGGGATGCTGCGAAACCCGCACGGGACACGTCTGCAGCCTTCTACTCGAATAATTGGAAAAGATTGTCACCTTTGAACATCGAAGATCGACCGATGTCCGGACGGTAAACCCAATTACCGGAAGGAATTTAATATGTTATCGTTATTGGTGCTTGTCCAATCCTCGACTAAATCCTATCTTGGGGAACGAGTTTAATTGTTCCCGGGCTCCCGTACAACGTTTTGTAATCGCCATGTTTCCTCGATCCTTATCTTCGAAAGTGGTTTCTTCCTCGATTCCCTTCGGACCATTAATATTTATGTGAACAATGACCAAAAACCGCTAGAAATCACTACTTGTTAACTCACCCACACTTTGTAACTTCAGTCTTACAAACTAATTAAAACAATGAACTTCAAATAATTACTTATTCTAAGATGACCAGAACTTGAACTTTACTCTTCATTGCACTTTACACTCGATGAGTTCATATTAATTAGATAACTTTAGCTATATTTGCCAAAATCATTAACATTATATTTTTGATACAAATTTAATTGAGATTGCAGAAGACTAAATAATACTTGCAGCAGATTAAATTACTAGTAAAGATTAGATACTTTTTGGAAAAAAATAGATACTCATTACAGAAGACGACATTTGCTAGTAAAAGACTGAATGTTGCTCGAAAAGCACTTGAGACTGCTTACAAAAGTCGAGATTGTTATTGCAGAAGATCTTTTTCTCATCGCAGAAAAACAGAAACTGCAGCATCTCAGCTTAAAGCAATCTCGATTATATATATATAATTAATTAATTATAACATATATATTATTATTATTATTATTATTTCTGCCGGGCTGAGGAGGGCGGCCCCTCTCGTTACCGCGACCTATAAGATCTATTGTAACTTTAGCCCTCCAAAGGTTTAGAGCAAATGTAGGTCCTTAATGAATGTTAGTATTGTCCTGAGGTCTTGAACCTTTATGTCGGTAGGTAACAGGGGAGTTTTACCGAAGACGTTGTGCGTTAGACGTCCTCTGGCGACGCAATTGCACAGTATATGTTCAGCAGTTTCTGACTCGGCGTTGCATAGTCGACAAGTTTGATCCTCAGCTTGTCCAATGTGGAAGAGGTGGTATTTTATGGCCGGTTAGGTAGCCTGAGAGCGTTCTTAGATCCCCTTTGCTGAGGCATAAAACCTCTTTGGTTTTGTTTTGCGACGGAGTTATCATACTCTTCGCTTGTCTGTGACCTGGAAGTTCTTTCCAGCGTAAGGCTATCTTTACTTACTATAGCTTTTTTGTAGTCCACATCCAGGTTGGGGTCCAATGAAGGGCGTGTTTGCTGCCACTTTGGCCAGCTGGTCGGCCTTCTCATTGCCCTCAATGTTGCTGTGACCTGGAACCCACCATAGGGTAACATCATTGCCCCTAGCGAGTTCTCTCAGGTTGTTGGTGCACTCTCTGATCAGTGCGGAGCCACACGTGTAGGCCTGAATTGCCTTTAAGGCGGCCCGACTGTCTGTGAAAATGTTTATGGATGCACCTTTTTGTCCCTTCTGTAGGTTCAAAGCGGTGCAGAAGTTTATAGCAAGAACTTCTGCTTGGAAAATTGTTAAGTCCGAGCTGAGGGGCAATTTGATGTGGCTATTTGGTCCACTGATGCCCATGCCTACTCCAGATCTTACTGTCTTTGAAGCATCGGTGTACCAGGCTAGGGCTCCTCTTTTTAGTTGAGGCCCTCCTTTCGCCTAATCATCCCTGCTACTAAATATGACCTTATACGGTTGGTTGAAATTGTATTCCGTCGGTATAAGGTCCGTTTTAATTTCAATCAGGTGATTTAGACATGGGTCTTTGAGGATCTCGAGGTGTCCTCTGAGATTACCCTGCATCACCTTGAGTGAAGAAACTGTTTTCAGTGATAAGACACTTAAGGCTGGCTCCTTTTGTATATATATGTGGAATATATATCATTGCACCCGTTATGTTAAGACATGCTAACCGCTGGATTTGTGCCAGCTGTTGTTGAGCTGTCTTATGTTTTGTTTTTAACCACCAAACCAATGAGGCGTAGGCGACCATGGGTCTGATTATTGCTACGTAGGCCCAATGAGCCATTCGTGGTTTGAGACCCCAGTTCCTTCCTAGGAGCCTGCGGCAGATCTGGTTTGCCATGATGGCCTTTTTCCTCGCCTTATCTAAGTGTGAGTTCCAGTTTAGTTTACTGTCAAGTATTACCCCTAGGTATTTAGTTTCTGTTTTAAGGTTAATAGTTCTGCTTTCAATGGAGGGTGCTTTTATTTGTAGCTTCCTTCTCCGAGTGATGCTGAGCCCATTGCTTCTGCACCAAGTACTGGTGAGTAGTAGGGCTTTCTGCATTAGCTGAGTTATGATTGAATCATATTTACAACATATATAGATATATATATAATATAAATTGTAAAAGTTTTAAAAACAGTAGTATTATGATTACATCTCATTAAAAGTGTAAGATAAATCGGCTTCAAAGTCAGTTATCGGAAGCCAAACACGAAGCGATTAATTCGTTCGACTTCCGGAGAAGTTCGAACCTCGACGTTCGCCGTCCAATTGAATATCGATAATGGTCATACGCCATTCAATTTGAAACGGATTAATATATTACAAGTGGTGGCCAAATGCCGAAAACGGTATAGTCTATTGGAATTAGAGAGCATAGAACGTATTTAGCTTTGAGCTATAAATTTTCAGTCAATTTCGCTGGTGTGAGTTAGTTCAGTATATTTGGTTGGTTATTTAGAAATAATGGTTAATAAGAATTGGAATGAAAATAATTGGTGTATAATCAATATGTTACGACGTTGCGTGGTGCTTAGAGGTGGTGAATGTTGAAATGGCGCGGTGCTGACCACGTAGGAAATTTGGCGCTCCGATAAATAGCAATGAGCAATGCAGATTTACAATTGAACTTAGTTGAAGCGTGGTCGGGTAATTTTCCGGTAAGCAAATTGTGTATATTGTCGAGATTTTAGAAGTTGAAATATCGTTTGTCGCGGTTGACGGCGTAGCTTAACTTACGGTCCACGGACCGGCCAAAATTAGACGTATGACAGGAAAATGAGATGAAACTTTCCACAATGCAGTTTAATTTTGCTATAAACTAGCTGAATGCATAAACTAATTTCGGTGTTATGGGGATTTAGTAAAGAAAAAGCTGGGATTTCGGCGTCGAGATAAAAAAGCTTGGGTGAGATTACAAGAACGTCTGCTAAGTTCCGTAACTTTTATAGTGCTTTGGTAAACTTAAAATCAATATGGCGCTTGCTCGGCTCTAGTACAGTCACGCTACCTTTGGGGTACAGGTGACACAGCAACGTTCTCAGTGAAGGTTTAACCCCAGTAGAGTCCACGCGTTCGCAAAAAGTCGTAATCGATCGTCAGACATCGTGCGGTTCCGTTAAAAAACGCGCTAAAAATTTTATTTCAACTTTTCCTGGCGCCAGCGCAAACAACTCCGCGCAAAAGCAAGAGCTCACAATAAACTTGGCAATCTTAATTAATTTGTATTGTGTGGGATTACTGGGGAAAGATACCGCATTCCGTACTCCGTACAAAAGTATTCCCATACTTTACACAACAATCCCCATCCTCCAACGTTTTCACTTGTTTTCCTCTCGTGATAAAGTTTCCAAGTTCCCAAGTTGCCATTTTCTAAAGAACGGCCCTTTATTTAAAAGTGAGGTTTTACCTCACTTTTAATTAGCGGTTCGCGATGAATCGCCTACGGGGCTGCATGATCGTAGTTTTATGGGTTTCCCTTAAAAACACACCGATTCATGGTTGTTATGTATTTCCAAAGGGTAAGGCTAAGATAACTAACAGAAATTTTTTTTAGACTTATTGATTGAACGTAATGAATTTTCTTTTTCAAAGGCGTCACGCTAGGGTGTTGGAAAAATCGCCGGCTATATAAATAAAAGCAATTTCGACGGCTGACAATCAATTTCGAACCGCCATAAATAAACGTCTTATCGGCGTCCCCTTTGATGTTACAGAGCAAAGTGACCCCTGCCGGGACAAACAGTGTGGCTTTGGAGCGAAGTGCGTGCCGACTCCAGATGGACGCAATTTCACCTGCCAATGCCCGGATAAGTGCCCCAACTATGGGGATCACTCGATGTCCCGACCCGTTTGTGGCACAGACGGCGCAGATTACAAAGACCAATGTGAACTACGAAAGAACGCTTGTACTACCAACGCCAATATAACGGTCAAGTTCTATGGAAAGTGTGGTGAGTACACTTTCACCGGCGAAAGTTTTCACCACTTTAAAACTTCATTAAACTCACCTTGAAAATAAATTTTAAATAAATTTAACTTGATATAAAATAAAAAATAGCAATAAATACCTAATAAAATCCTGAACGTATATAAACAAATATGTTGTTGCTGTGTATATAAATAAATCGATTCCCTTCCATTACTCGTTGTCGAAAGAGATCCGCTTACTATCGGATATTGCAAAACCAAACAATAAACGATTAATACGTTCGACTTTCATCAAATTTCGGCCGTCGAAATCATCATCGATTTGAATATTGGAGCTCTCCGGTAATACAATATTCAATCTGAAACCGATTAATATATTACAAGTGCCTATCAAACATTGAAAATGAAACACACTATTCGCCATTATAAATAAACACGTATACGCAGTGAATCGGGTCGGTAATTTCTGATCAATACCCAATGTGTTTAGAGCTTTTGTTTCATCTACATTTAGATCCTTGCGCTGGCGTGAGGTGTGCGGAACCCGAAGTGTGTCAACTGGATGACCACCGTAACCCAATATGCAGATGTGGAGAATCGTGCGCCCTAGAACTAACCCCCGTGTGTGGAAGCGATGGAAAGACGTACCCCAACGAGTGTTCTTTACGACAGGAATCCTGCCGGATGAGGAAAACGTTGCATATCATCTATAGAGGAAAATGCAGTTCAGGTTGTTTAGAGTAGTTGAAAAGGTAAAATTAACGACCTTCAACGACTGCTTTTTGAGCAGGCGTTAACCCTTGTATGAGCGTCAAGTGCACGCTAGGAGAAGAATGCGCCATCAATAAGTTCGGAATAGCAAAATGTGAATGTCCGCCTTCCTGCGAACCCGTAATGAGACCGGTTTGTGCCAAAGACGGGAGAACTTATCCATCGGAGTGTGAGATGAAGAGGTCGGCGTGTAACTCCAGAACGACTATTCAAATAGCCCATGCAGGAGTTTGCGGAGAAGTAGGACCCTGCAGTAACCATGTGTGTTCCCACGGAGCGTCTTGCGTAGCCACAGGAAATGTACCCCATTGCGAATGTCCGATTTGCCCCGCAGAATTCGAACCGATTTGCGGCTCCGATGGGATAACTTATGGAAACGAGTGCAAACTAAGGCAGGAGGCATGTAAGCACCAGTCAGAGACGAGGGTGTTATATTACGGATCTTGCAGTAAGTGTGTCGTCCGCGATAAATTTGTGGGGATAATGGGATTTTTTTCCCAGATGACTGCGAGAACAAAAAGTGCGATTTTCACGCGTCCTGTGAAAGCGACGGAGCCGAGACCCGCTGCGTCTGTCCCGAAACTTGCAAAGATGAGGTAAAGTAAATTAGATTGTCACCATCAGATGGTACCGCATTAATCTATGTAACACTAGGAATTTACTTTATTTATTCGGGTCTCTATTCATCTTGCGCCACTTGAGATTGCGGGACAGGAAAGATGGTTATCTTCGATGGGGTAACTATCGATCCGGACATCCCCCGAGCGTGCAAGTGATAATAAAGATCTCTCTCCAGTTCTTAAAGCGTTTTTTACGTCTCCTTAACGATCTAAGATCCCCCCTAATTAAAAGATATTTTATTACTTCCCGACTTCATCCCGAATTTCTTGTTATTTTTACTCTTCAAAAGAGATAAAACGAGCTATCGTAATTACATTTAATTATACTAAGTTATACTAATAATTATAGTTACAAAAAATTTATTACGATGTTGTGTTATCTGGAATAGTTGAACAAAGGATTAGTTTGCGGAACAGACGGTATCACGTACCCCAGCGAGTGCGAGATGATGAAAACGTCCTGCAAAACCAAACAGTACATACTAGTCGCTTACAAAGGGGATTGCGGTAAGTTTCTGTACACATAATCCTCTCGAGTGCCGCATTAGACGTCTCCTCAGACCTTTGTAAGGACGTCGAGTGCAAGTTTGGGGCGAGATGCGAGGCGGGCCAATGCGTCTGCCCTACGGACTGCCAGGGATCAGGTGACGAACCTGTCTGCGCCTCCAACATGATCACCTATCCGAACGAATGCGAACTTCAAAAAGCCACTTGCCAACTGCCTCGGGACGCGTCCCAATTAACGGTCGTTTTCTACGGGGATTGCAGAGAAAGATATCCCATTGCATTAAGTAAGTTCTCTATTTCCACATCCTTCGTAAACCTCCCGTTTACGCGGTGGTGGCCGCTTCACTAACCTAATAACCATCTACAGCGACACTTTCCTCTCCGACCGCACTCAACACCGCCGGAACCATTTCTTTAGAATTCGACCCTTTCACCGAAACGCCTACAGTATCCGGGGCCGAATCTTCCGCCGCCGAAAAGGAAGCTTGCAGAGACATCCACTGCGACTTCGAGGCTACTTGCGAGTTAGGTCCAGATAACTTCCCCAGGTGCACGTGCCAATTTGACTGCGCTAACGCCGCACTTGAAGCTTCATCGAAACCCGTTTGCGCTTCCGATCTCCGCACGTATCCTTCCTTGTGTGCTATGAAAATGGAAGCCTGCCAACGACAAGAAGAGCTCAGATTGCGCCCGTTAGAGCTATGTCAAGGAATGGAGGTCAAACCATGTAACGGAGAGAAGCCGCTCTTGGATGGCAACACAGGGAAACCCCTCGACTGCGGCAATGGCCCCAACAGGCAAGATTGTCCCTCCGGAAGCTATTGCCATCAAACGACACGTTTCGCAAGGTGTTGTCACAAAGGTACTAAAAATAATTCAAAGTAACACTGGGGGAATAATTCGTTAATAATTAACAATAAATATTCGCATGATATTTTCATTTTTTAGATCAAGCTATTTCTCAACCGAAAACTTGCGAGGACAGCTGGTTCGGTTGTTGCCCCGACAACAAGACGCCTGCCCAAGGACCAGATTACGCCGGCTGTCCGTCGCTATGTAGATGCAACCGTTTAGGATCTTATTCCGACATCTGCGACCCAGAAACTCAACAGTGTCATTGCAAACCGGGAGTCGGCGGAGAGAAATGCGATAGATGCGAACCCGGATATTGGGGCTTACCCAAAATCTCCTCTGGCTATCAAGGATGCATCCGTATGGGCCTCCAACCTTTCTACAGCAATCACATAACATTTTTATATATTCTCTTATATTTTAGCTTGCGCATGTTCAACTTTTGGTTCCGTTAGAGACGATTGCGAACAAATGACCGGTAGGTGCGTCTGCAAACCAGGCATACAAGGCCAAAAGTGCACCGTTTGCAATAATCACGACAAAATCCTTGGCCCCAACGGTTGCGTTTCCGCCGATTTAGTTTCGCCTCCCCCAATATCTTGCAAAGACTTAACGTGCCACTTTGGGGCAACGTGCAAAGAGAAAAATGGTTTAGCTTTTTGCGAATGTCATTCCGAATGTCCCGAAGAACCGAATCCTCAAATCGTTTGCGGAAATGATGGCCAAACGTACTCTTCAGCTTGCCAACTACGATTATTAGCGTGCAGAACCCAAAAGGATATCGTAGTACAAGCTTTTGGAACGTGCAAAGGTGATCCATCCTTATTCGATTATATGTAAAAACATTATATTGATTCTTTTATTTGTAGAAGATATGTTTGCCGGAACAGATTGGCCCGTTAAGAGATACACCCCCCAACAATTTACCCAACCTGACGACTCAAATTCCCCACTATCGAAATCAACACGTCATTTAGCTCCGGATTCACGGTATTATTACGAAAGGAAAGAATTGATTCGACCCCCGCAAGGTGCCCCTTACTCTTTGGATCCCATCGACGAGAATGAAACTCCCGAAAACAACCTGTCTCTCGCAGGATCGGATAACATTTATAATTCCCGCGGTGAGATATCAACGGTGTACAAACATCTTTAAATAAATATTATTGTAATGTCTTTGTGTGTTGTTTGTAATCAGTTTGAATAAAATGATGAAAGAATGGTGATGGTGTGGTTTTGATGTGATACCAACCTCGAGCTTCTAAAATTAAATTGTAAAAAGAATTAATAAATAAATAAAATTCAAAAAAAATCTGTAATATTTACAATAAATACAACAGGGTGTATTTATAATTCATTAGAAAAAAATCAATAAGCCCCCGAAAAGTAGGAAAATCAATATTCACTAACAGCAAAGTCCTTGATTAACTCATTGGGGAGAAGAGCTCGAAGTTGGGGGGAAACTAATCATGATTATAAAACGATTTATATTACCAGTAGGAAACTACGCCGCCGCCTTCAGGCCCACACCAGCAACGGTGCAAGTAACAGCTCTTTTGGGGGATCTATGCTCTGATAATTCAGACTGCTTCATACCTTACAGCAATTGCGTACGCGGTGCGTGTACATGTCTTCCAAATTACGTTGAATCAACTGATCGACAAGAATGTATAGGTGAGATATTTACATATACATGAAATTAATAATTATTATAATTAAATGATTATTTATTTAGCTGATATAGTTCCAACCGATGAGTATAGAGCATGCAGTTCAACGCCGTGTTATTATTATTCAAGATGCATCGATTTACCATCAGCAACATTCAAGTGCGTTTGCTCGGCAAATTATACGGGGATCTACTGTGAGAATTTAATCATCTTCAAAGATTATGATGTACCAGCCTTCGAGGGTAGATCCTATGTCAGACTGGAACCACTAAAAGCGTATCACAAGCTCAGCATCGAAGTCGAGTTTAAAGCGTACGCGTACGATGGCATAATTCTTTATAACCAACAAAGAGCTGATGGAAGTGGCGATTTTGTTTCGCTAGCTCTCGTAAACGGATTTGTTCAATTTAAATATAATTTGGGGAATGGTCCTGTAATAATTACGTCTTTAGATCGTATTCAGCTGAAAAGGTTTCATAAAGTTATTATTAAGAGGTACCATAGGGATGGAATATTGAAAGTGGACGACAACGAAGATGTGGCCGGACAATCGCAAGGTAATCTTCGAGCTTTGGATCTTGAAGAAGATGCTTTTATTGGATATGTTCCGTCCAATTACTCAAGGTAACTATGTTTTAATTATTAATATTATTACTTCCCATCCTGTTAGATTATGTAAATAAAAAACTTTGCTTTTCAGAAGGGTATCTTTTATTTTCGGCTCTACCGGTTTCGACTAATTCTTTTTAGTCATCTTCAGGAGCAATAGCCACGTCTGTTATACTTTTAATTTTCGAAATCTGGAATCATCTCTTCTTTCATCAGTACTTTCTTGAATTATCCCTGTGAATATGATATATTCATTCACATATCATTCACATATTCACAGGGTTGAACATAACCTAAAAATAAAGTTAAAGCAACCATTACTAATAATAACATTCAACGTGAGCTAAAAATAAAGAAAAACATAAAACTAGAGGAAATTTTAACAACATTTAAGAACGAATAATTCAAGAAAGTACTGATGAAAGAAGAGATGATTCCAGATTTCGAAAATTAAAAGTATAACAGACGTGGCTATTGCTCCTGAAGATGACTAAAAAGAATTAGTCGAAACCGGTAGAGCCGAAAATAAAAGATACCCTTCTGAAAAGCAAAGTTTTTTATTTACATATGTTTTAATTGTTTGTTATTGAAAAATCGGTTTTTATTTGTACCATGAAATGTTTATACTGAAGGCTGAAATGATAGTCTCTCGTTTACATAATCTGTTTCGATCTCCTTTGGTGGGAGTTTTCCCGTTCCGTTCGACCGAAAGAAGCGCCCTTGATTAAATTTCCGTGACAATACGTTCAAAATCGATACCGTGCACTGCTGATTGCCCTTTTCTCCAAAATTCAAGTGGCCAATATAACGTTCGGTAAACTCATTGAGGTTGACAATTTCCTTCCTATTTGCATACGGGAGCGTTCATAAAAAAGATTCTGAAAGGGATCGTATTTCTAGGGTATACGAGAACGTTGGCATCGACAGAGGACTACAGGGTTGTATTAGACGGTTAAGGATCGGGAGGCGAACGGTTGAATTACACCGGAATAGAGAATTGGTCATAAAGACCGAGGGGGTCCATGAATGTGGGGAAAGTCCATGCTCAAGTGTCCCCTGTCAAAACGATGGCATATGTAAAGCCCTTAATTCAGAATCGTACAAATGCGAATGTAAACCGACGTACGTCGGTGATTTTTGTGAAAAAACCGTCGATGGATGCATCTCAAACCCGTGCCAAGGAGGCTCTACCTGTGATTCTCTGCCAAACGGGAAGTTCCTCTGCAGGTGCCCTCCGGGGAGACGAGGAAAAACTTGCGAAATTGTTGATAACGAAATCGATATATCCATCCCGGAGTTTAACGGCTCCAGCTTCGTTGAATTCCCCAAACTGGAGGGGATCGGAAAGTCCTTCACCTTCGAAGTATTCTTTCTTTCAAAAGTTAACAACGGACTCATCTTGTACAACGGGCAAATGAAAAACGGCAGGGGTGACTTTATCTCACTCAACCTCGTACATGGATACGTTCAATTTCGGTTTAACTTGGGAAGTGGAATTGCTAACATCACGTAAGTTATTTACAAAATAATATAAAAATTACAAAAAAATATTTAAAAAAATCATATAACTACAACGGAGTTAAGTATCTTGCCTTTACAGTCTTTTTCCAGTCTATCACCTCTCTACCCAGTCTTCTCCTCTTTTCTGCTCAGTCGCATTTTTGTATTTTTAGTCTCTATTCATTTTCGTCCTTCTATTACCAGTCTCTTTCCATTTTGCCTCTCCTCCATTCAGTACCTTTTTTGCCTTTTCAGCCTCTTTTCAATGTTTCTCTTTTCTGCTCAGCCCCTTTCTTCTCATTTCGATCTCTTTCCATTATTATCAGCCTCTTAGCTCTCGCAGTCACTTTTCTTTCTTTCTAGTATACATTAAGTAGTCTCAGAGAGAAGCGAAACTGGAAGAGATTGATCTTTTTAGTCTTTGTCCAATCTCTCCTTCTCTCATTTAGCAAGAGAAGCAATATCTTCTCTTTCTAGCTTTTACCCGTACTTTCAAGTACTTCAAGTACTCAACATTTCTGGGTGGGGTCATTGACCTCAGTAAACACAACTGACCTATTCCAATATATCTGAAATTAGTTGAGTTGTTTGGTTTCAAATACCCTTAAGTCCAAATTTTTCGATTTTGAGAAAACGGCAAAAAGTATTTTGGGATGATTTTGGCGTTATTAATTCAAACATAATTTATTTGTTATTAGAAGACTTACTGAAGTTTCAAAAATTCTATAACCACGTCTTTTGAAATAGATATAAAAATCACAAAGTGGATTTAAAAATGGTGTTTGGTTGCGTTTGCTACCAAACTGTGGATTAAGGCTCATTTGAATCTGAACAAAATGGATTAGGCATGAATTGAAAGTGAATCAAATCTCTTTGTAGCTAATAACAGGAAACTTTATTTTTTGAAAGATATGTTATTTAAAAACTGTACTTAAAAAACTCTTAAACTGTAACATCAGGTATATTTTCGGTTGATTCACATAAACTAGGCTCTTCGTCCCCACTGTCTTCTCGAGAATCGCCAGGAATATTATTGTTCTGAAATTTTCCCAACACATCTCTATAATAAGCCAAATTTTCTACCGCTCTCCAGTTCTTTCCATAATGTTTGCTTAACAAGTTATTTACATCTCTCATTTTCAGATCTTTTGGTTTCACTCCGGTAGGAATTTCTTTTGGCTGGATATTCATGGCGGTTTGGTTTTTCCTAAAAACTCCTTTGAATGTTCCGGTGTCTGAACGGTAAGATAACTCACCTCGAATGGTGATGGCGTTTTTTTTGCCACGTCGTATAATATATCTCTTACATTGGTTAAATTTAAAATGCCACTGAGACACTGGCTTAAGGATTTTTTGACCAGCACCTTTCCAATCACTATCGGGAACATCTTTTCCAAGTTTAAAAACAGTAGCATGTTCTTGAAAAATATTTATGTATTCTTCTGGCATTACAATTTCTTCTTTCTTTCTTATTTCTTTTTCGATAGTAGCAAAAACCCTGTCAGGTGGAATGTAGGAGTGCCCAACCACTGGGAATACCAGCTCGATTGTTCTAATAGAACTGCTTATACTGCTTAGCCATTTGAACAACATACATATCATAATGGTATTTTTATTTTGGCCGCCGCATCCATCGGCGACCAATCGAAGTGTATCTATTCCCTCTAAGTTACTATTGTTTAAAGTGTAAAAGACGCAGCTTGCGATTTCGTTGGCGCCCTTGGCATGTTCATCTTCAGTCCACGTGAAAATTTTAACATTATCTTTTGTTAACGGAGCATGTGAGTGCCCCACTACAGTAGTGAAGTTGTAAATGTACAGTTGTCTACTATAATAGGTACTTTGATCTGGTATTTTGGGCAATACCAAGTTTTTCTGACAATCAAAAGAAATTGTCAGAAGGCCGTCCCGTTTCTCTTTTAGCTGTTCAAAAAATGCTTTGGCCCTGAGCTTATGTATTCGGTATTCTGTAGTTAGCACTGTTTTAATAGATGCAACCTTTTCATTTTTAATTTTTTCCCGGAGTTCAAGACACTTAGAGCAAACATCGGTGCTAGGAGATCCAAAGCCGATGTTGAAGGAAGTATTAAAAATAAATCGAAAGTAGCTCTCTTTAATATCTAAAGGCTGTCTATTTGATTTGAATTTTTAAGGGATTCGCGCATTTTTTAATACAAATCATTGAGTATTTTATAGAAAACAACTTTTTCTAACAGATGGCGTATATATCTCATTTTTGCCCAAAAATGGATTTAGGGGATATTGAAACCAGACAACTCAGTTGTATTCCACTTTTATATTTATCATTTATTAATATTATTTATTTGACAAATTTAGATCAAAAGAAACAATAATACCAGGAAATTGGCATTGGATTCGAATAACACGAAACGGAAGGGATGGAACCCTTCAATTAGACAATGCAACAATAGTGAAAGGTCATTCGGGGCAACCATTAACAGAATTAAACCTCGATCTACCATTCTTCATAGGATCGGTTTCGTCGTGGCAAGAAGTCCATCGTTTGGCCGGAATTTCGAAGGGATTTAGAGGGGCAATCCAAAGAATCGTTTTGAACGGTAACCCTCTCCCGCTATCTGGAAATATGCTTCCGTGTTCTTTCATCCCGCCCAATAACACCGGATGTGGTTATCAAATCCGCGTTTATGACGGTACGCCCTGTCCGATAAGCAAAAATCCTTGCCAAAACAACGGATTATGTCTCCCACATTTAAATGATTACATATGTCAGTGTCACTCTAATTATGAAGGAAGTCATTGCGAAAACGGTAAATAATAATTTTAAAATTAATATTAATTTATAATTAAAAAAATTTTTTTTAGAAAAACATGAATATTCAGCAATCAAATTTAATGGAAACACATTTCTGCAATACAAAAATCGGGGATATAAAAGGTAAGAATGTTATATGTTAAAATCAACATACTAACACCACTAATTTAAAACAAAAAAGTGTAAACGGTACCAACATAAATTCGGAATTATCAGAAGAATATTCTTTGAACGATGATGATGAAATGGAAACGGAAAATGAATATGGTTATTTAGAATATGAGGATAACAATTTTTATGATACTAACACAAACGATGACTTAGGGTATGCTATACATACTAACAAAATATTTTTTGAATCGTAAATTTTTAAATTTAAATTTCGCCGAAATTCATCATTTTTATTTCCGTTTTATTTTTAGGAAAAAGGAAGAACGTGGAAATAGATACGAACTGACGATACGCACGTTCGTTTCCGATGGACTTTTATTATGGCGCAGTAAAACGAAAAGTTTAAAAGAAGACTATTTCTCCATAGCTATCGTCAATGGACACCCAGAAGTCAGTTTTAATCTGGGAAAACAAAAAGATTTCTGGGTTGTAAGGTAAAAAAATTCTTTAAAAAATCATTTTTAAATAATTAATCCTATTAATTATATCGTAGAGCGAAATCTAGAGTTGATGATGGAAAATGGCATACAGTACACGTAAAAAGAAGAAAACGAATAATATTCATAGCAGTTGATGGAGAAGAACCTATGAAAGGTGTAGCTGAAAAAGGAGCAATTTCTTTAGCAACTACATCGAAATTATGGATAGGTGGCATGGGAAATTTGCCAAGAGGTTTACCAGCCGCATATTATAAAGGTTTCGAAGGTTGCATTCAACGTATAAACGTGAATGTAAAGCCATTGAATATGTTGAAACATAGCAACACGAACGACATTCACTTTTGCCATGACAATGAGGTCTAAATCTTTGCTATCACTTATTAAAAAAAATACTGAGACTGATGTGTATTTTCCATTTTATTCAAGAAACGAACATTTCGTCGTTTTGTTTTTTTGTGATGTCGCGTCGTTGCAACAATAAAAAAAATGAAAGGAAACGAATCAAACGTATAATTGTAATTGAACGGATGCTGTAATCGATTGAAGATACTTTTGGTTCGTCTAAAAAAATTTCATGTGTATCAAAGGAACGTAGTACCTTTTCTCGTGCAATAATGTTCACTTTTAGACATATCACCTAACTCTATTCCGTAAATAAAATCCCATCATAACATATCTTGAAACCACGCGTTCGAAGTGTAATTTGCCAAAGATTATCTTGGAAAATCTTCCTTTATTTTGATACATATGAAAGTTTAAAATGAAAGGGAAATGTGTAAATTATTCTAGTTAGTAGCATCAATAGCCTTAAACTTAGAAAAATTGACGGAAAGAGACGTGCTTCAGTTTTAAGAGGAAATGATATATGTATTGTATGTTGTTCACCTGCCATATTATAAATGTATACCTTCGTAACGGGCAATAATTTAAAAAAACTTTGCTGACGAACTGAATATTATATGTGTATGTACTTATATATGTAAATATTATTATACGTTTAGCGTTATTTACATGAAAAAGAAAAACTATATGTATGTTGTATATATATTACCTAAAGAGCTTAAATATAATATGTAGTAGAATCTTAGGTACCGATCGTTAATCATCATAAAGTTTTAGTATCGTAGGCAAAATTTAGACAAAAAAAACTGTTTGAGGATAAATTAAAAATGCAATGAAAACCCAGTATTTGTAACTTCTAGTATTGTGTTTTAGCAATTTTTATTTATACAAAATAAATGCCACGAAATATATTTTTTTCCTACTAAGAATGTTTCGTTTTATTCTAAAATATTATATTTAAACATATCTTATTATTTTTAAATAAATATTAATTCAGCGATTACAGATTTCTTTACTTTGTTGGTAGTTTTCTATGTTGTTGAGCATATTACAAAAAACTTTTAGTAATAAAAAATAAAAATATTAAAGTTAATAGTTTCGCCATGTTTTTATTTAACAAATTTCAATGTTCGACATTAGCCTTGCCATCGTGCTAATTTTCGCCTACCTGCGTCATCATCATTATCATCAAGCAACTATATGTTTGTCCACTGTCGGACATAAACTAAAGATTTCCACATTCTGAGTAGTACAATCTATCTTGTTGGTGATGTCCTCATGGAATTTGATGACAGCATTGATATTATATTGCAGATTTTCTTATTGCACATTTTTCTTGCAGTTCGTGAGATTACAAAGAAAAAGGTCACTCCAAGGAAACTAGAAAGAGAGAGGGTGATACCCCTAAATCAATACTCACCTCTACAGGATATCATCGCAATCGTATTTATGTTAACGATTCTAGAAGAAAGCGATTAAAACATTAAACAATTAAAAGATGACTTGGCATTTGTAAATTGATTCAAAATCCTTTGGTGTAGATAACCACCTTTACACAGATGTAATAAAAATTTTGTTTTAATGTATATTGGCAACTGTTTAACTAAAAAAACAAAAGAATTTTTTTAATTTTTTTATTTTTTAATATTAAATGAATTAAATCTCAATAATTACAAACAAATTAATCGAGTAATTTGAATCGTAGGAAATCGTATTTAAAATAAAATTGATGCTCGTAAATTATTCGAACAATTGGTTCGATAAATTATGCCGACATTAATCGAAGAATAATCGTAAAAGGACAATAAACTTCGAATATACACAATTTTATGATGAAATGTTGTGATATTTTTCCATTTTATTCCAGAATAGATTGTAAGTTTTAAGTCGACCTGAATCATCGTCAGTGCTGCCACACTGATAGTAGTTTTCGCCGCTCCATTATTTGCAGGTTTTATCAGGAAGTGTATATAAGCAACTTTCCGTGCTCGATTTAATTAGTAAGTTTGGTGTCGACAAACAGTGACAGTTAAATGTAAGTATTCTATGATGTTTCTTATATATATTTAAAGAGTTTTTATTCGAAATCAATCTACCATACGGTGTATTTTTTTCATTATGTTATTTATAAATCTAATAATAGCAAAATGTTATTTAAACGGATTGTTATTTCCGATATGAAATTGTTTCGTTTTTGGAAAATTATATTAAATTAGAATTAAAGAAATTACATTTTTGTGTAACCAAGGTTTTTGACCTGGGAAACTTTCTCTTAATTATATTTATATTCTTGTAAATACCACAACATAAACATTTAACGCAAGTATGCATCTCTGGTTTTATAATATTTTGCGTTTTAAAATATATATAAACGGTTTTATTAAATTTTGATAATAAACATTTACATCTGCTTGTTATTTTTTGCAAGCATCTATAATTAGAAAAATGAATCATCAGGATTTATTCCATATCAATTAAATTAATCATTTAATTTATCAAAAGATTCATGTCATGTTGCAAAAATAGTTGCCTATCTCATTAATATTTCAATCAAATAAACAATTAATAATTTTATTTTATTTTTTTTCAAGACAAAGAAAAATGAATTCAGATAGCGTGATCTTTAAAGTCTTTTTAAAGACTAACGATTCTATCGAAACAAGAAAGTTCGTCGTAGACGACGTTTCAGTAATAACTAGCTTCCTTTATATAAAAGGAAAACTTGCAATGGTCTTTCCAAAGTTAAATAATGTTCCGTTTGAAATAACCTGGAAAGATATGGATGGCGATAACATCATCATCGATAACGATGAAGATTTAGTCATGGCATTTACTGAAATGTCTGGGCCAGTGAAAGTTTTGTATGTAACGGCTACACAGCCCCATCAAGAAAATCCAAGTAGAGTTTTCGGCGTTTATTGCGATGCTTGCAACAAGGAGATTACAGGATACAGATACAAGTGCCTTCAATGTCCAGATTTTGACCTTTGCTCAGATTGCGAACATGCCGGACATCATAAAGAACATTACATGCTGCGTAGTGCCAATGGAGAGCTCCCATTTTCTGGGATGTGCAAAAGAATTTCTGAGAATATTAACAAAAGCATTAAAAAAGCTCAATCGATGGCCTACAAAGAAGCTCATCGTAATGCAAAACATTCAAGGAAATACGAGAAGAAATGTGATCATGCATCAAAATTTAAATGTGGCAATGAGGATCCAGTAAACTTTTATGAAATTCCCGAGTCTGTTATGGAAATGATGAACAATATTTTTATGGGTTATCCAAGGGGGTGTCCATTCCAAAACCAAAATCAACAACAAGAATCGCAACCGCAAACGTCTCAACAATCGCAAACTAACGAAGGACAGCAACAAACCAATGAAGGACAACAACAAACCAATGAAGGACAACAACAACAAACCAACGGAGGACAACAACAACAACAACCGCAACAACCTCCGTTTGTAGACATGATTATGAAAGCTTTGAGTAATATTTTCCCGGAACCCAGAACAACTCAAGCTTCTACACGTGCCGATGTTACCATGAATGCTCCTACACCAACTCCAACTCCAACTGGAAATGGACAATCTCAACAACCGCAAGGTGCTTCATCCGGACAATCATCTTCACCGATGGAAGAAGATGTTGATATGAGAAATCCTATCCCAAAAAGCCAATCTTGGACTATCATCAATCATGATAGTGTTCAAAATGTACCAGGAGAAGTTCTGCTACCTTCACAAATCCCGCAAGTTTCGCAAATTCCGCAAATTTCGCAAGCTTCACAAATTCCACAAACTTCGCAAATTCCAATGCCAACAATTCCGCAATATCATCAAATTCCACCAGCTACTGCACCAATAAACCCTCAAGGTAAATTTTAATTACAAAATTGTTTTTATGATTTATAAATATATATATTTTTTTTGTAGATCAAAAGATATTGGATGGTTTAAAACAATTAAAGGATATGGGTTTCAAAGATCACCCAGAGTTGCTCGCCCTTCTTAAGAGATACGATGGACAAGTTGGATTTGTTATTAAACACATTTTTGATAATAATGATAACAACATAATATAAAAAATTAGATGTATAATTAGATATATTTAGATGCACTATATAATATGATTATCGTTATGGGATACAGGAATGTTATTCAAAATTTTTGGACAACGGACTTTTATTACTTTTGGGATGTTATATTTTAGACACTTAACCTTTATAAACAAACATACACATTTGTATTTTTAAATATCTCTTAATAAAGTATATAAAGAAATGGACCAAGTTATTTTAGATTTTATACCCCTTCAAAATTTACTGCTTTGGACATATTAAGAGATTTAAAAATTTAAATATAAGAAAATCATATCAACCTTATTTTTAATGATGGTAAAAATTTAAAATTTCTAGTAATGGAGGAATGATTGCACACATATTTTCTTTCTAATTCAGAAAAAAATTATTAAAGTATAAATTAATTCAAGTATAAAAAATAGAATTCTTCAAAGAATCGTATTAGCTCTATTAGCTTTAGTTGACGAAAATAAACAAAAAGGTTTGAGTTTGATAATAAAAATTTCCAGAAAAAAGTTGTTAAAGTGTATATTTTTAGTAACGATAGTTGTTAAATGGTACTTCATAGCTAAATAGTTTTCTTCGACCTCATTTTACTTATATCCCAAAACACCAATTCTTGAACACTTCCTGTTGCGATTTCAAAATTTACTGCTGCTATTTATAATCAAAGTAGTTTACGACTTTCACTGTGAGTTTTGGATAAGCAGAAAGACTTCAAGCAACATAAACTTCAAATAGAATCCATTAATCAATTTATATTTCTCATAAATATAATTTGAACAAAATTAAAATTAATTGCTTAAATAACCTTATTTATAGCTTAATAAGGTTGAAGATGAACGAATCGTCCGAAATCTGTATCATGTAAATAATAGTAAAATGTTTTATTTATTCTTATTCTAGTAAATGATGTAATTTGGCAACAAATAAGTTTAAATTCAAAGTAGATATCATAAATAAATAATCACCCACGTTCTTGTAACAGTCAAAATGTCAGCTGGTGGTGCGATTTTTCAAATGTCCGCGGCCGCGAGCGGATCGTCCGTGCATGTGCCGGAATATTTCGAGCGGTAACAACAGTGCGCACTCGCTTTGCTAATATCTCAACGAGAAGCACCACACATCTAACTCATAATTCAGTGTATATTTCGGCGGCCAGTGAGGCCAAACGGGTATCTCACTCTTCGCTCTAATTTCCGGCTTTACCCGAAATAATGGCCAGAATGTGCACGGATGAGTGTAAAGTATCGCAATCCCAATGTTTTTTTTGTTTTAATAATTATAATTTTTGCATGATATCATTTGATCACTTTTTCTTATTATTTTTTGTTACGAGCTTTTAATCTCGCGGTGCACGTTTTGTTTTTGGTACGCGATGGCCGTTAACAAAAAAAAATAAACGAAAATGTATGCATCCTTTTAAGAAGAGCCTCGATGGCGCGACCTTGAGGTCGGTGCTTCAAGCACGACTTTTTGAAAAAAGGCTCTTCTCGCGAGAATTACGGCCAACGGCGGCTTTCTTCGCGGAGGAGATGAATTCGTTTTGCATTCGACCAAGAATGGTTTACTGAACTCCCCGTGTTGTCTTGATTTCTTTTTAAATCTTTTAAATATTAATAGTCCGTTGACACCACAAAACCATAAACCGAGTAAACTGATTTGGACAATGTCCAAAAACAACTCGATTATTCGAGGAAGCCAAATATTTACCGTTTTCTTTACCACTTTGCAGGTGAACGAAGTGTTATAAGGGATTGCGATAATCTTTTCATTATCGTAAAAAATTTAAATGTACCAAGTCCTAGAAATGACACAGAAAGTTTAAAATGTTTATATAAAATTACTATGCTTATTTCTTATAAACAAACTGCTAAATGTAAGTTTTTTGCCAAATTGAGTACTTGATTGTAACTTTTTTTTTAGTATTTCCTATAGCACAATTTTCAATAAAATATTTATGTAATCATCCAATTTTGCCAACGCTTTTGGTAGAAATAATAAAAGTAAGTTAATGCGGAACAAAATAAGCAACGTGGTCACTTCGCCAAAATAATATAAAATAAAATAAGAAGAAAATAGAAATTGTTCACGATGACACGCGATTTAGCGTGGAACATTTGACATCTTCGCTCGATTTGATGAGATTTAGGCCGAGAGTTTAGTGTAGGTAATGACACTAATGACAGAATAGCAGCTGCTATTCAATGTTTGGAACACGTGGAAATGTTGGAAACGATCCAAGACTCGGTGGTTGTTGTGCCCGCACGTCATATTGAAAGCAAGTCGTGTCCGATTGATCGTACTACATCTATTTTAAAGTTTGCAATTTCAACCGCTAGATTTCCGCGCCGGGAAAATGTCCAAAAAATCTAAAAATAACACAGAAAACAAAGGAGACTTTGTTTCCAAAAAGAATAATAATGGGTGAAATGGAATCGTTGCCAACTTATTTTCCTTTTGGCCGAGAAAAACTCGTTAAAATCAAAACCTATATAAGTATCTGGCAATGGACCTTGTCCTTGAGTACAAATGTCAAAATAACTAGCATAGACCATGTGTTGATGACAAGTGACCACAATGCGAGGACATTCGTGTCGTACCTAATTGCAAACTCACTCTTAATCATTTAATAACTATTTATCACTTTTTTTTTAGAACTCGAGAAATTTTAAAATCACTACTTACTCAACAGAAATTCTCTTCAGATTAATTATCAAGAACAAACTAGTTTCCGAAAATGAACGCAAAGCCATTCGAAAAACTTTTTGGGATCCCCACAACTTCAAAAACATCTTAGAATGCGCCCAAACCGTCTACTTCTTTTACAAAGACACGTCAAACTTTCACGAGATTTTTACTAAAATCATCAAAATCATCAACTGTTGTTATATTAAAAAAGGAAATAATCAAATTTCTTACGTCACCAATTTTACCGTCAATTTTATTAGCGACTTAATTTTTGAATATAGCAACCAAAAGGATCTTTTTCAAATTTTGTTACCACTTATAAAAAATCTTGCAAAAAATAGTAAGTTTTAATTAGATTTTTTTATCAATGCTACGAATAACCAATTAAAAAACATTTTATTATTAAAGTAAAATTTAAAAAAAAGTCGGTTCATTTATATATAACATTTTCTGTGGTTATTCGCAGCTGATATTTTTTAATTTTATTCTATAAAAAATAATTTTATAACAATTTTCATTTTGTTTTTAGAAAAAAATATAAATATTTTAGCCACCGATCAATTTTTTAATTCGTTATTAACCCAAACCAACAAATTAGCTATAATTGTACCAATTTTAAAGTTAATGACAAAAACACGTAAGTTTTTTATATATATA